GCAATGTTCATGTTTTTGTCCGATCACATGCGAGTTTCACGGATTAGTTAAGTGTCCAGGTCCCTGGCTGAAATATCCGTTTCTTGCTTGCCAGAAATAAACGGCAGTCTGTATTGTATCGTTCTATGCATGTTTTTACTTGTGTCTTGCGGTCAATTCATGTATTAGGAACGTCTAACAACTTTTGCCATTTCGAAATAAAACAAATATGGCGCAAGTTGTGAAGTTCTGCAACTTTTTCATATAAGCAACTACCTTAAGTCAAATTTAAAGAGTTAAGGAGTTTTGTTCCATCACTTATATGTCACTTTATCTACGGCAATGTATTTCCGCCTGGACGTAGAGCCCCTGTGGAACACACCAGGAGCGTGACTGTGATAGCATATTGATAAGAAAATCTGTAGGCCAGAGAAAAAAAAATTACACCAGTCTCCAGTAAAGGGAACCATGTGGGGATTCGAAGCAGCGCTGGTGTTCCCTTGTGTTTCCATTTGAAGGTTTCAATTTGTATGTTTCTATGTATGTTTCAATGCACGTTTGATTTGTGTGTGCAGTTGTGTAAATTTTCTGTACCGCTTATGTTATGCTCCTTTTATTTGTGCGTATTACCATGTATGTGTTGTAAAGTGAACAAACACCCAGCGCTGCTAAAAGAGAGCAACTAAGTGAGCCTGCTCAGCATTGTATACGAGCGCACAGCTGTGGCAGTGAGGTAAATGGAAAAGAAGAAATGAAGCGGAGGCATCGCTCTGCCACCTCCTCGCGTCAAGCCAGGTAAGGGGGGGGGGGGGGACTGGCATATGTGCAGTGGGGTAGCGGATGGTCACCGAGGGACGGACACAGCCCCGAGTGAAGGCTGCTTCGCATATAAAAGAAAACACGCTGTTTAGATAGTAGTTGGGAATGAGTATGAACAGAATGAGTTGGATATCTTGCAGCAACTCAATAACTATTTGGCATCTTCGTTAATGTCGTGTAATACAAAACACCGCATTGTTCGTAATACATCAACTTACCCAGAATATGCAGGCTTTTACGGGCCTGTTTCGTACGACCATCTACCATCTTATGAAAGCATCATTGGCAAGGCGATGAGCTTAATTTACATCTCACTGCATGCATTTATGCAGCCGAAAGATTGTGGTTATAAGAGCGAAAAGAAAAGTGAGCCCCGTAACTGTCTGCATCAGTGTGCGCCGCCTCAATGAGGGAATAAAATGATAGGATTAAAGGTAAAGAGAGAGAGAGATAGATGCGCTAGGCCAGAGAGCGACAACATGAGAGAGATAGGAAAGATGGAAACGCGGTCACAGGAGTCCGAGGACGGGGCACCACTTGCGAGAACTCTTGTCGGCGACAGGAGATGGCGTTAGGGCTAATCCAGTCGGCCAGAGCTGCACCGACGTCGCCGTAGGGGACTGGAGGCAGGAGGTGGCGTAGGACCAACCCAGTCGGTCAGAGCTGCGCTGTCGTCGGAGATCGCGAGGGCACAACCAGTCGGCACGGAATCCAGCGAGTGAGTCCGAGCCGAAAGTTCATCAATCATACCAATAGTGAAACTGCGTTCTGAAGCTCGAACATGCGCATCGCAAATCCTCCAAGAACCCCCAGATTGTGACGCCATTTGGGAGCAGAACTATAATGCATGAACACGACGTTGCCATGTTGTTTGGCAGAATGCGGTGGCGCTAACGTTTCTGCACAATGAAAAACAGAAGATATAGCTTCCATTACTTATTTTTTTAGATGACGCTACAATCAGCACACCCCCGACATTTCGACCAATGGTGAGTTTCTATTTGGACACTAAAGGCATATATGAGCAGTTCCGCAACTTGCATGATCGAAGAACTCTGTATGCAGTCATGTTGACGCGTTGAATTTTGTTCCCAACGTGACGAGCAACGCATCGTGCAGAGAGCGAGTTCAGCACGCGATAAAACATAATCAGTATTGAAAGTAAACTTGGAAGGCTAAGAAGGAGCTGTCAAGATAGCTGCAGGTGGTAAACAATTGCAATACGCAATCCTGCTCGATTTTCGCTTCAGCACATGCGCCACGATATAATGGCAACCACTGCTACAATATAAGGAAATACAGAAGGATGAAAACAAGAGCACAGGTGGAGGGAATGAATAATCGAGAGTTCTTTGCCCACAACAAAGCATCATCGAACGAGATTTTAGGAAGCAGACATATATATTTTTCAATCAATCTCGGTAAGACAACTATGCATAGAAACCCATGAAATCTGGACAAACGTTCTTTATTTGAAAATACTTGTGTCGTCAACTACGTACACTTCTTTCTCCCACGCAATGTCTGTGGGTCAGATGAATATAATGCAGTCCAGACACGTGAGGTGGCTGCTGCCAGTCAGTAGGCTCTTTTTAATGGTCATCTCTAGCGAGGTGAGCAACGTTTTATATACACAACTTGAGCAGCCTTAGGTGTAGCGCGAAACGGTAGGGACTCGGTAAAACCCGACATATAGTCCAACCGCGACTCACGTAAGTAGAAAAATATCTTTGGCATATGAGGATACCCGTGAGGCCGAGCTCTTGCATGTTATTTCACATAGAAAGTTCTGGCTGAAATGTAGATATCGAGGATAGACATTAGGAGAACAACGAATCTTAGACAAGACACGCATACACATATGGAAGCTTAGCAAGAAGTTCGAAATGTCACAATTGCACGGAATGCATACTGGACAGATGACTTGAGGCCAATGTGTGGCCTCACTAAAGAAAAGCTACCGACTGCATTTCCTTCATTGTATATTTACTTACGTTGGTCCCATGAACATCGCAACTGCAAGATTTGGGTCTGGCATAGCGCACTGCCAGCTTCCAACTAGCAACTCGCTTGTTCGATGTTCAGTTGGCCCCTGCTACTCGCAGGTTTCTCTCCAAGCTCTGCTGCCTAATTGTGTTTGAGCATTCTTACATTTGTACTGGCGTAGCGAGCGCTTCGTTTCTTCTTCGATTATGAAGCGCAGAGAATTCTTCATGCTCACTTCTGCTGCCGGCCGCAACAAGCATATAATGTTGCCACGGGGTTTAGGCACTGGATATTTTGTTGTTTTGCGTGTGCAGTGTGCAGTAAGGTATTTGAAACATTCGGTCAAGCATAGATTATGACCCACGACTACTATTTCTTATTGGGCACCTACATATTTTCCCTTGAAGAAGACTGGCACGAGTAGTTCCAGTACGAGAAAGAAAAATAAGTACAAAGATATGTTTTACCCTTACCACTACCGCCCCTTCAAAAAAAAAAAAAAAGCGGGTCTTGCCGTCTTTAAAAACTGACGCCGACTTGGCGAAAAAATTTCAGTGTGCGAACAACGAACTGGAAGCGTTAAACGTCATCATTCTTAAGGGAAGTAGAGCGCTGCACACGGAAGAGTGGCATGTAGAAGCAACGAGCCGTCTAGGACTACTTAAGTACACTTTTACCGCATAGCGCATCGTGAATGAAAACGAACTTGTAATATACATTATTGAGCCGCGTGCTGACGTGCGCACATAAAGGAAAAAATAAATTATTTCACCTATACAACGTGGCTGCCTTCAAGCCGTGCGTTGGTGGACTTCAGGTCAGGGGTTCGTATCCTAATAGCGGCAGTTGCATTTCGATGAGGGCGAGCTGTGAACATGTCTGCGTAGTTTGATTTAAGCGCACTTTGAATAGCCCCGGGTGGCGAAAATAAATTCAGGGCCGGTATTCTGTAGCGATGGCCTTTCTGATAATGCCTTTTGCTTTTTGTCGTGCCTTGAAGATAGTCAATGCGAACATCCGCCGACGGTTATCAACATAATCATCCGGCCATGAGTGGTGTACAATAACACGTGCAAAGTGTCGATCATACTGGATTGCTGCCGACTGTCGCCTCCATTTCGCATTACAGTTTGCCTCGTAACCTCCCATATCGAAAATCTACTACTTAGTAACCCTGAACTCAACATGAACCCTGAACTGAAGTTGACAACATGAACCCTGTCAAAGTTGACACATGAATAAGCTCCAAAACTACAAGGCAAGAACACGAAATCAAAAATGCGCTATCATTGTTCCGAGTATCTTATGCCCTGAAATTCGTTTTTCGCACTGCCCTGCAATGCAACTCCGTACATGCAGCTTGCACAAAAGACCGTGGCACACTGGAATCACAATATACTTGAGAACTATTATACTGATATAACTAAATTAGTCTTTGCAGCAGTGAGTACTGCAACCAATCACTTTGACTACACTGTGGAACGTCCACTTCTCTTATGGGGTAAAAAATTGTTGCTAAAAATGAGTGCAATTTGATCTGAATGCGAACCTCAAACATGGGAACGAGACAAGCCTATTAAAAAGCCGCATAGCATCAAAACTCGAAGTCTTCAGTAACATTGCCTTCGAAAGTTTTTCATAAAGTACCTTCCTTACACCTCAGAAGTAACAGGGACGTAATGATATTACTTTCGGCAAACTGTATTTGTAATGGAATTCAATGGCATTTTGCACTTTAAAAATTATTCAGCAGGACCAACAATTTCACACGACACTGAACTAGTTTTTGAAGCATGCGATGCCTAATGTTATGTTTTGAAGCATGCAATACTTAATGTTACGTAGTCAGTTTTCTATTTCAGCTGCCGAAGATTTCAATTTTCTGTGGAACTCGCGCCCGGCAACGTTTGGACGCCGCCCTAAAGGTGACGTTCAACACACCAGCGTGACTAGAGTGACTCGTGAACAGCCTGGTTATATTCCGAGCGTGTTTGTCTACATTGTGGTTGTTCTAAGCCCCATATGGACCACCACTGAACATCGTACAATGTGGCTGGAAGACTTCTCACAATCTGCAAACACATAGTAGACAAAACACGACGGATGTCCCGTATTCTCTTTTCGTGCACACTTCACCGTGTAAAAAAGTTTCTTCGCGTATCCTGCTGCCGGAGAACACTGCCACAATGTCACTAAAAAAAAACATGGCGCAAATGTCAGTCACTGGGTTCGTGCTTGACGTAGTTCCTGGGAGATGGCGTGTCGGCCTCCCGGGACTCGACCAGGTCGTCGTGCTCAAGCAGACTGGCCGCGTAGCTGGGACTGCAGGCGCCATCGGCCCGGTCTCCCGGCGGCATGTACAGACAGGCACGGGCCAGGGCTCCAGCCACAGTCTGCATGGCACCGGACATGGCGTGCATGTGCTGAAGCATCTGGCGTTGGAAACACACGGTGGACTTCTGAGCTCGCCGCTGTCCCTCGACCAGCGCTGACAGCAACTGCACTGTCCGCCGCTGTAGAAGGAGGGACTCGTCTTCGGCAATGGCACCGTTACCGTTGGTTGTGGCACCTCCACCATTTGAGTCGATGACCAGATTGCCGTTCCGGCCGTTGCTTCCGTCAATGCCGTTCCTGCTGTCCTGGTAGTCTGCGTGGTTTAGTCAAGTTGGTGAGGTGACCTTTTAATCTTAGCAAGTCTACACTTCTGAATGCGCCTTGAAAGATTTAAATACACTGTTGAAATCAGCTGAATGACAATTAGGGATGTCTAGACAGGTAAATTTAATAATGGTGTCATTCATTGGCTGATTCGGAGCACTTCCGGTAGTACGTTTTTCTGCTCCATAAGGAGCAAGGTTGTTCCATTGGCAGATCTAGGGCTGCTTAGCCGTGAAATCCACTCTACGGAGCAACTTTTTCTACTCCATAATAACCCTTATTTTATTTTTAGGGGCGAAGCTTCTCAAAGCGGCACCCGTTCGTCCCTCGTCGTAGTCGTAGGGCGTAACCAGTCTTACGATTTGACCTGCAAGGTGGTGCCGTTGGAAAATTTCTCCCTGTGCGTTGCTGAACAATAAAAAATTCACAGCGTGCGCGTTAACTAAAAGCCGAATTCTCCTGTCTCTCATTCCCTATTAGCAGCCATTGGCATGTACATTGAGTACTATCTGACAAGAAAGGGTTGCTACGTTATACTCGCTGGGCGTAACCTCCTTGGTTTCAGAAAGGTTTAGTGAGCGTTATGCCGCAGTGCCATGAATGCAGTGAACTAGTATATACCATGAACTCGATGTGGTTAAAGGTGGGATGTAGACACAAAGCGCAAGCCGTAAGAAAGTGTGCATGTGCCACCTCTCGTTTAGTCCTTGGAATGTCCACTGGATGGTGGTGCTTTTATATGCGGAATAACTGATCAAAAGATGCTAGATGGTGGTACTTGGAGTGTTGACTAGATGGACGAACAGATACACAGACAGATGCATGGACGGACGCATGGATGAACGTGCGGACGGGCGGATGGACGCACGGACGGTTACACAGACTAACGCATGGACGGACAGAAGCAAGAACGAATGGACGGAAGGATACTTCGCCCCACTCTCCATCATTCAATCCGTGGATATGCTGCCATTTTTTTTTCTCTGTAATAAACGCTTTTCCATCCAGCCACGTGCCTCGAAACAATGCCAACTTTGGGCGCGCGAACGAACGCTGCTCGCGCCGGAGCACACAATTTACTAGCGTAGCGTCGCTGTGTGAGGCGTGCCCAAATCAAGCAAGAAGAGAGACGCGCATATCACGTTCCATTAATGGAACGTGATATGCAGGGTCAGAATTCTGAATGGCAGGGTCAGAATTCTGACCCTGCCATTTACTACAGAGGGAGTGCGTGTGTTCCATTGACCGATTCCCGTCAGGTGCCCTCCGCCAAAGTGGAATGCTCCAGCGCAGAGTTCGTAAGCCACTCCGTAAGCGCCAATGGATGACACCATAAGTGTACGCAAAGCTGTAAAGTCGTCAGCAAACTTGACACAAACACTCCGAGGCGTGACCAGGACTTTAATCGATGCCAGGCGCGAAGCGTTAAGCGCTGTTGCCGAAATAATACCTCGGAATGCTTGTATAGTATGTTGGCGTGCACGGGTAACATGTCAGTAACATAACCCCAAGTTACGCTGTGCCGGCCGGCGTCAAAGTGTTTCAGGACATGCTGTGCAACGTTCCTATGAAGCATGCTGATGACTAAACGTCCGCAGCGCGCTGCGTACGCAAAGTCTGAGGCTGAAGCACTCGGTTGCCATGCGCAACATCGGAAACGTGCGCCGAATCAAGCTGTCAGCAGGCTTGCAAATCAGTGTTGCTTCGCACCATCTAGTGGCGAAGCAATAAGCCGTTGTAACCGATCATGGGCTCCAAAATGACGAGTGCATGGCGTGTTGGAAACACGCCATGTGCCATCTCGGAGACTATGAACCGATGTGTGTCTAAGTACCTTGTAAGTCAAGGTATGAGACTAATCGAGGTTTTTCAATGAGGAGTAATAGTTTGGGGTGTTTGGGCTTGGTGAACTACAGCACGAGGGACAGAGAGACGACGAAGACGAGCGCTTGCAGCAAATTCAACATTTATTGTTTGCTACAGACATTTCGTAAAACAAAAATAAAATGAACCGAGCAGGGAGTGCTAAACGCTGAATACGGAAATACCCCCGCATTCCCCGGTGCCTGTGTCTTCGAGTGCCATGACATCTGCTTTCGCGATAGTGAACGTGGAGCATGGCTTATCTGTGTGCGAGAAAAATCACCCGAGCTTGGTGAAACACGGACGTGAATCCAAATGCGCCGCAATGCATGGCTAGAACTCACCTTTTTTACTTTTTAACACTTCACGTGCTTCTGCATGCGATTATTCGGACATCTGCCGGTTAGACACAGGTAGCAACCACCACGCTTCAAATGGATCACACCCACGCCGCCCCCGTCCACCGTCCACAAATCCATCGCGGCACTTCACCTGAACATCAAGGTCCTGCTTCTTTTTACCTGACGCCGGTCATCCTGCGTTGTGGTCTGGCTAAGCAGTTGCCACAATCCACTGCACCTGTTCACTGATTGGCTGCAGGTTACTTAGTCAAGCTCCCAATCAAGCACAAGGCTGAAAATCACGCAAACGTCATTCGCTGCCAAGAGCACCGTACTGCTGTCGGTCGCGGCTATCTTGTCTGTTTCGGTGTCGGCCGGACGACTTCTTGCAACAGGTTCCGGTAAGGTACGCAACGGTCGTAGTGGGCGCAACGTGAGCGCCGAGATCTAGCGTGCGCGCACGCGTCTGGAACAGCGCATGCGCACTCTTGCTCCCTCTCCTGCACTGCGTGCGAGAGATGGGGCTTCCAAGCGGCCGGCGTACGCAAGCTTTTGGGTTGTTTTGTACACTCACTGGATGCGGCTGGCGAACAAAAGAAAAAAGTGGGGAGAGCGCAAAAGGACGCAAGAACGAGTGAACCCAGCGGCAAGGGCCCCCCAGCACTAAATCTCACGATTAGAGAGTTTTAGCGCCGGGGCCCCAAAGTGGCTTACGAGCGAAAGGTCTTGCATTGTTACGTATTCTCTTTGGGTGGCGCCACTGGAAGTACTAAGGAACGCAAGAGCGTGTGTACGCAGCGGCTTGGGGTCCCCAGAACTAAAACTGAATACAAAAGCAATCTCATTCAAGAATACCAAGACAGAAAGCCAGAAAGGTCACGCTTGTTTGTCGTATATATAGTTCTCTCCCGTTGCGAAAGCACGAGCGTTATAGTATAATTAGCTCACATTATTGACATTAAGAGTGCACGGTGACTGGAAGATCACAAGAACACAACATAAAAAAAGCATTCAACTTAACGAAGTGCATTCGTACGGAAAAAATTGGCAGCATATCAACGAAGTGAATGATGGAGAGTGGGGCGAAGCATTCGTCCATCCATTCGTTCTTGCTTCCGTCCGTTCGTGCGTGCGTCTCTTCATGCGTCCGTCGCTGCGTTCGTCCATGAATCTACCCCCGCGTCCGTTCATGCGTCCATCCATGCATCTGTCTGTGTGTCCGTTCGTCCATCTATTCAACACTCCAAGTACCACCATCTCGCATGTTTTCATCATATATTCCCAATATAGAAGCACCGTGATTCGGCGGACATTCCAAGGACTAAACGAGAGGTGGCAAACGCGCACTTTCTTACGGCTTGCGCTTCGGGTCTACTTCCCACCTTTAACCACCTCGAGTTCATGGTATATACTAGTTCACTGTAGTCATGGCACTGTGGCCCAACGCTCGCTAAACCTTTTTAAAACCAAGGAGGTTACGCCCAGCGAGTATGACGTAGCAACGTTTTCCTGTCAGATAGTGCTCAATGTACATGCCAATTGCTGCTAATGGAAAATGAGAGACAGGAGAATCCGGCTTTTACTTTCTTACGGCTTGCGCTTCGTATCTACTTCCACCCTTTAACCACATTGAAGTCATTCATGGTATATACTAGTTAATTGTATTCATGGCACTGTGGGTGAACGCTCGCAAAACCTTTCTCAAACTAAGGAGGTTACAACCAACGAGTATAACGTAGCAACTCTGTCTTGTCAGATAGTGCTCAATGTACTTGCCAATGGCTGCTAATGGGGATCGCAACGTGCGCGTTAACTAAAAGCCGAATGCTTCTGTCTCTCATTCCCCATTAGCAGCTATTGGCATGTACATTGAGCACTATTTTTTAGTGTTCAATAACTCACAGAAGGAATTTCTCACCGGCACCACCTTGGAGTTCAAAATGTTATACTTGTTACACGCTACAACGGCTACGAGAGACAAACAAATGCCGTTATAAGGAGCTTCGCCCCGAAATAGACGCATACATACCTGTCTCATTCTCCGAAGTCGTCTGGGAGTAGTCGTCGGCCTTCATGCTGTCAACTGGAATAAATAAAAAAACAGAGCGGTTAATATTTTCTTCTGGTCCCTATGGTAATGGTCACTGTCTCAAAAACAAGGCTTGCGATTTGTTTGCTACAGGCCCGGCCCGTGTTTGATTTGTCAGTTCCATTTATTCATCACCATCATCATCATTCTTTTCATCATCGCCATCATCAGCCAATTTTTCAACATTTTCTTAAGTATGCTTCTGAGCTACACAGAATTCCTTAGTCCCAAGCATTCTTTTAGTAAGCGCCTACATGCGGTCACCATGTGTTGAAGTATTACCGCGGAACGAAAACTATATTTCACGATCAGTGTTCAGATTTCACTCCTCTCAGAGATCATTCTCGATGTTTCCAGAATGCTCACTCCAAAATCACCCTCAGAAATAACCCGTACATAAGACATGGGTAACTGCAGAAAGGCACCTGACTGCGCTCTCCTTTCGCGGGCTATTTTCTGCAGTCACCGAGTTTTACAATGTCATCTTTGCTTAATACTGTCGCGAGCAAAAACAAGACCTGTAGCCAGGAGTTCACCCGAACCAGAGCAATGAAAATGTTCTCTTCTTCTTCGAAACCCAAAACGGGTATGAGCCACAGCGGCTCGTTCATCAATAGTGGCATTACCCCCTCTCCCAAGAAGCATAGTCTCGATGCTGTACATGAAGGCAAAAAAAGAAAAAGAAAATGAGATGAAAACACCACGCAAGCAAAATGAATTGCGTAACGTGGAATAACATGGTTGTGGAGCCAAGAGTTAAATGAGAAATAAGAAAAATAGGAAAGAATATAAAGGAGAGACGAATAAAGTCAGTCACTCACTGGCGATTCACAGCGCCAAAAGTATGGTTTCAGCCGTGAAACGTGAACGACTGCAGTTCGCGGGGTGAAACGGGAACGTCTCGAACTGCCTTCTGGGAGAACCTCGTATGTGACGTCGCTGAGACGTCGTACGAACTTTTAAGGGCCGAAGTAGCGGCGAAGAAGCTTTTCTGAACGGCCACGTTGTCGGATAGGGGCCCACAACCAGACTTCATCACCGGGCTTGAAAATAACTTCACGGTGACGAAGATTGTAGCGGCGTGCGTCTGCGGTTTGGTGATGTTGAATACGGTGACGAGCAATTTGATGGGCCTCTTCTGCACAATGCGCGAATTTGGCGGCATCGGTGCGGTATATTCCTAAGTTGTCGGGCAGGAGCATGGCGTCGAGCTGCGTCGTGACCTCGCGACCGTGGACTAAGCGAAAAGGTGTGAAACCGGTATACTTTCTTGAACAGCAGTATTATACGCAGAAGTTACGTAGGGAAGTATGGCGTCCCAGTTCTTGTGATTGATGTCCGCATACATTGACAGCATGTCTGCAATTGTCTGATTGAGTCGTTCAGTCAGCCCGTTTGCTTGCGGGTGGTAAGCCGTTGTTTTACGATGTTCCGTGCCACTTAATCGCAAGACTTCCTGCAGCATCTCTGTGGTGAAAGCTGTCCCACGATCAGTTATGACGACAGCTGGAGCACCGTGACGTAAGACGATGCTGTTCACGAAAAATTGGGCATCTGCAGCGGTTGCTTTTGGAAGCGCCTTGGTTTCACAGTAGCGTGTTAAGTAGTCGGTAGCGACCACAATCTACCGGTTTCCTGACGAAGACGTGAAGAATGACCCCAGCAAGTCCATGCCAATCTGATGAAAGGGCGCCTTTGGTAGGCCTATTGGTTGCAGTAGTCCCGCTGGTCGTAAAGGTGGAAGCTTACGTCGCTGACAGTCGCGACATGTGCGAACGTAGTGCTTCACAGTCTTTGCGAGACGTGGCCAGTAGTAGGAGCGTTGAATCCGTTGCAGCGTGCGCGTATAGCCGAGGTGTCTGGATGATGGCTCATCATGACACGCACGTAAAATGTCACCACGAAGCATAGTTGGCACAACAAGCAGATACATAGCTTGTGTAGGATGAAAGTTCTTTTTGTAAAGCACTCCATCGCGGAAACAAAAGAAGGATAGTGAGCGTGTAAAGCTTCGAGGAGGGGGGGAATTGCGTCCTTCCACCAGGTAGTCAATGAGCGGGATGAGCTCCGAGTCGTGACGCTGTTGCTCAGCCAAGTGGGTCGCTGATACGGCAGAAAGAAAAGTGTCGTCGTCTTCAAGGTTAGTGTTGGCATTTTCGACCGGTGCACGTGAGAGACAGTCGGCGTCGGTGTGTTTCCGCCCAGATTTGTGGACGATGGTGACATCGAAATCTTGTAGCCGAAGGCTCCATCGTGCTAGACGACCTGAGGGATCTTTGAGATTTGCGAGCCAACGAAGGGAATGGTGCTCGCTAACTACCCTGAGTGGGCGGCCATAAAAGTATGGGCGGAACTTTGTTATGGCCCAGACAACAGCGAGGCATTCCTTCTCGGTTGCAGAAGTTTTTCTCCGCTGGGGATAACGTTCTGCTCGCATAAGCGATCACGCGCTCTACGCCATTATGCCACTGAACTAATACCGCTCCTAGTCCAACGTTGCTGGCGCAAGTGTGTAATTCCGTGTCAGCGCTTTCGTCAAAATGACCCAGTACAGGCGGAGCCTGGAGGAGGTTTCGGAGGGTGTCGCACGCATGGCACTGATCGGGACCCAAAACAAACAAGACACCGTCTTTTGTAAGCTTGTTGAGGGGTTCCGCAATCTTCGAAAAGTTTTTGACAAAGCGCCTGTAATACGCACAGAGCCCCAGAAATCGGTGTTGGTCGCGCTTATTTGTGGGCACGGGAAAAGCGGCAACAGCACGGGTTTTCTCCGGATCTGGGCGGATGCCGGCATAGCTCACAACGTGACCAAGGAACTTCAGTTCTTCATATCCAAAATGACATTTCTCGGGTTTGAGAGAAAGCCCCGCTGTTCTGATTGCCTGAAGTACTGCATGAAGGCGTTGGACGTGTTGTTCAAACGTGTCTGCAAAGACCACGACGTCATCAAGGTAAGCAAGACATTATTGCCATTTGAGCCCTGTGAGAACCGTATCCATCACTTTTTGGAAAGTAGCTGGCGCTGAGCATAGACCGAAAGGCAACACTTTAAACTCGTACAGGCTGTCGGGAGTAATAAACGCCGTCTTTTCGGGGTCGCGCTCAGCCACTGCGATTTGCCAGTAGCCGCTACGTAAATCCATGGAAGAAAAATATTTAGCGTCGCGTATACGGTCCAACGAGTCATCTATCCGGGGTAGAGGATAAACGTCCTTTTTGGTGACCTTGTTCAGTTTTCGGTAATCAACGCAAAAACGCAACGAACCGTCCTTCTTCTTTACTAGCACAACTGGCGAAGCCCAGGGACTAGTTGATGGCTGGATGACGTCGTCCTGAAGCATCTGCTGGACTTGGTCACGTATAGCGTCTTGCTCTTTTTGCGACACCCTATAGGCGTGTTGTCGGATGGGTCTCTCGGTGGGTTCCGTGATGATACGGTGCTGAGCAAGGGGTGTCTGTTTAACCTTTGACGTAGTGGCAAAGCAGTCTTGAAATGAGCCGAGTAAACGCAAAAGGCTTTCTCGTTGAGCCGAAGGTAGTCTCTCGTTTACGTCTAGAGTGCTCACGAAGGCCTCGTCAGGGTGGCCATTTGATGAAAATAAAGCTAACGTGGGCGAACCATCGGCATCGGCAAGTTCTTCACAATATGCAATGGCAGTGTGTCTCGTTAGGTGGCGATATTCGTCGCTGAAGTTCGTGACCAGCAGGTGAACATGCCTATTGCTAGGCTGAATGATTCTTTGGGCAACACAGATTTGTCGTGAAATAAGGAGAGACAAATTGGCCTCTGCAATTACCGCGTCAGACATGTCCTGTCCCAATTCTACTTCGACAAAGAGGCTGCTTCGAGGTGGGAGAGTCAGAGAATCGTCGGTAACACGAAGCGCTCTTTTCCGGAATTGTGTACTGTCAGTTGCAGCGCAAAAAGGATCTTCGAACGACACAAGTAATTGACGGAGGTCAATGACGGCCCCGTATTCACGAAGGAAGTCCATTCCTAGAATGACTGGCCGAGAGCCCACGCGCAATACGAGGAAAGAGTCCGCAAATGTCGGCGTACGTATACGAATGCGTGCCGTGCACATACCGGTAGGCATCACCAGATGGCCCCTGCCGTGCGCAACTGGGGTCCTTGCCATGGTGTGGTAACCTTCCTCAGTTCAGATGCTTGTGCGGCGCTCATTACAGAATAGTCGGCGCCGGTGTCGACGAGGGCGTTGACAGCATGATTGTCGACGAAGACGGCGATTTCGGCAGAAACGATCTTTCTGATGTCAGAGAACACTGCAAAACCGGAATGGTCCTCGTCTGGTCGTTGCGTCAAATGAGGGTCTTTTACAGTTCGCCGGGCCGGGACTTCACCCCCAGAAGTCGCCGTTCCTAGTTTCCCCTGCAGGAACTTGGTGACCGGCTCCTGAAAGGAGCGGAAGACGATTAGGGCTAACTGGGTGAGGTAGACCGGCGAGGCGACGATGATCTCGACTGGTGGTGCTGAACAGTCGAAGGTGTTCGCTGCCCCGTGAGATAGGCTTCGATTTCGCGGGGGCGCTCACCGTAGCGTGGGCATCAAGCGTCAGGATGGAAGACGCGGAGACCTTGTTGCCGGTATTGACAGTTCCTGTATACGTGACCCGCTTCGCCGCAGTGATAGCAGAGCGAAGTGATATCCGAGGTGCGCCACGTGCTTGCCTTGCTACCACTTTGTGTTGAGGTAGACGGCAGATAGGTGGGTATGCTCGGGAACCTTGAGCCGAGAGGCGGGCTCGAAGCAGTGGCGTGGAATGACTGCATAGCCTGGTACCTGGGCCGCATAGCAGGATCTGTAGCCCGTGGCGCAGGGGATCGCGATGCCGCTGCGTACGTAAGGACTGGGGCCTCGGGAATCGGTGGTGCGATTGGGGTCAGGGGTGTGACGGCGTGCCGGACTTCTTGTCTGGTTACATCCGCGAGGGCTGACACAGGTTGATGGGATCCCACTGCCTGAAGCTGTCGCA